AAACCCAAAATATACAGAAAAAGGAAGCCCCAACAGCACAGTTTTCTCATGTATAAGACTTGAAAAAAGTTGCTGGCAATGAAAATTAAGGTAAAGATAAGGTACGCCGCGTTTTCTTGAGCAAAGAGTTTCAGCTCGCGGAGAGTTAACAGTGTTGTTAGAACTAGTTAGTGCTAGCTGAGATTGTACTCTTCAATCTTCTCCCACGATTTAAGGCTTTTGTCTTCGGTGTCTGTTTTATACAATGCAAGGCGAGATATCTGGAAGCTTAAGTTGCCAATGCTCTCATCAAGGATATAAGCCTTCTCTTGAGCTTTCTTCTTTTCTTCATCCGTCAAATCGGCATAAAGAATGCTCATATGAGGCATATATGCTGCATCGTCATAAAAATGAACATCAGTAATAGAAACCTAGCTCAAGAATTTTGTAGAAAGTAAACCAGTAACGTATTGACAGCTTGAGGAGTAAATAGATTTATGTCTGTTACAAATTGTACAATTTGCTGCTTCCAGAATAGCATAGCATCTTGCTTAATCCAAGAGCTTGTCCGCACGCACTGTACTGCCCCCCGCCCCTTGAACCCCCAAACGAGAAAAACTCTTCTAAGATTATTCTTCATTGCAAGAACAACACAAGCAATAACATAAATCCAGAAAAGTGTGTCTACATCAAGACACGAGTCACTCACCATAGATATAGTTCATGTACATTTCAAATTCCCGACTTCCAAAAGAACCTCATGTACCAACTGGCAACAAATCAACACCGTATATTCAGGCAACATGAGTATTTAGATTTGGCTTTCACATAGGGGAACTTAAGATTCCAAAGGAGCCTCTAAGCAATTGTCGAGTTCTATATCTAAATGAGCTAGTTGCTATCACCTCACATGTTCTAACCTTGGTGGATAGAGTTACCTAGTATCAGTTGTTGAAGGGAGGTGATAAGTATCTCATAGAATTAGCCGAGGTGCGTGCAAGCTGGTCCGGACACCATGGTTATTCAAAAAAATTCAAATGAGCTAGTTGCTATCATGAAGGTAAAAGATGAGAAGTTCATCCAAAGAACAATGTTGATTAGAAATTGGAACAAGTGGGAAAGTCTGAAGTGAACGATTGCTCCTTGTTTAGGAGATTTAAGGAGTGTGACGAAAAGCATATTCAGGAAAGTTCAATCCATTGGGAAGTAAAGGGGATAAAGGTGTTATTCTCGCTATCATTTATTCTGTTTGATGAATATTACGGACAAGTAAAATGTAAAAAGATGATACAGAGACAGAGAGAAGTTGAAACCATGAAAAAGGCAAAACGACTAAATCATAAAAATGCCAGAAAATACAAAGAAAGAATGTATATCTTACGACTTGAGCTGTTGTAACCAAAGCTGCTGCAGCAGCGTGCGCTAGCCTCCACAACCTGGTAGAAAGAAATTTCATTCACTCCTCAACAACACAACTTAGAAGTGATCATACATCAAAAGAAAAAAAATCGCGGTAAAGAATAAGTTTAACTTCTATAATTCCTAAATATGGATTCTGTTTTCCCTTTTCCAGTTGCAGGGTCGATATTACATTGACAGTTCTACTGGTTAAAGCTTGATTCCTAAGATAAATAATTTTGACCCTTCAAAAGTGAAAACACATAGTGTTGGCCGTAACACGTAGAGGTATGAAGAATCAACATATAGTAGCAGATGACAACAAAATAGTACGATAGTCAAGATACAAAGTAATCAACACATAGGACCAGAAATCAAGGTACAAGAAAATAAACATATAGTAACAAAATAATATGACAAGCGAGGTATAATGAATCAATATATATTAAAGAAAATCAAAGAACAAGAAACTACTGGAGGAATAATACTACGACTATTAATAATTCAAATAAAATAAAAAAGATCTTTTTATTGCCTTAGTGATGGGATGAAGCAAAAGATAAACAAACACACTGATAAAAAGTTTGAATAAAACAATACGATAATCAAGGTACAAGTAATCAACACGTACATAATCAACATGTAGGAACAGACAAGGTACAAAGCCACAAAGGAATCTAACATATCGTAGCATATACAGTAACAAAACGACACGATAATCGAAGTACAAGTAATCAACACATCGCAATAGATATTGAACTACAAGGAATCAAAATTATAGTAACAAAACAACACAATAATCGAGGTATAACTATTCAACATATCGCAACAAAAACCAAGGCATTATTAATCACCGTATAGTACCATATAGTAACAAAACAATACGAGTTACAAACAATCAACACATTGGAACAAAAACCAAGGCACTACGAAACAACAGATAAAAACAGTATGATAATCAGAGTTATAAAGAATCAACACATTGGAACAAAAACCAAGGCACTATGAATCAACAAATAACAACAAAATAGTATGATAATCGAAATACAACGAATCAAACAAATAATAACATAAAATCAAATTAAGGACAAGAAACTACACGAGCAATACTACGACTACAACTAACAATTCAAACAATAAAAAGGTTTAATTTTTTTTACCTCATTAGTTGGATGAAGCAAAAGATAAACACATTGATAAAAAAAAGTCCCAATATCAATTTTCTCCACAGTACCACTATACACCTTCTTCACCCCTTCACATCCTTTTCTAAACTTGTCACGTGCTTCTTCCTCCGTTAACCTCACCGCTCCGACGACAGTCACGTGAGGTTCAAATTGGGGCCCACCAAATTCCGATCTAAGACTACCCATCAATTTCTTAACCCTAACACTTACATCTTCCGATGGAATCGCCCAAACTGAATAAACGTCAGTTTTGTTGGTTTCAGCTTCTTTGATTTGTACATTCTGCATTGGATCTGGTACTGTGAGAATCGAATAAAAGAGTAAAAAAATTGCTATGAGACCAAGAAATGAAAGGAATTTGATTATGAAAATGTTATTGAGCATGAAGAAGATGATGATTAAGGGATTTGAGAAAATCCATTTTTAAAAAGATTTGATTTTTTTTTTGTTTACAGAGATGGTTGAGAAGTTGATGGAATATTACAGAGATGGTTTAGCTGGGTTTTTTTTCTTTTTAATTGTGGAAAATGGCATTATGTTCAACAAGTGGAGTATATTTAAATATATTTTGAAAAATGATAAATATATTTTTTTTAAAATTATAAAAAAATGATATGTAGCTATTTTTCGTTATATTTTTGGGATATTACTGTCTCCGTCATCTAAAAATTAAATCATATATATTATTTATACTAATGGACATACACGTGTCGTAGTCTTATTCGTCGATCCGACATCAGATCGATGAGTAAGATTATGCGACGTGCTTCTATTTAGTTTCTGTTGAAACAATAAAAGACATATATATTCAAATTTTTGAATGACACGAGCACCAATATTACAAAAATATAACAATTTTCGTTATCTACATATCATTTATAATAGCTCAAAGATATATTTATCATTTTTTCTTAATTATTTGAAAACTAAATTTCAAACTCAAACTCTCGTTCCCAAGAAAAATACATATTTCACTAATTACATGCCACTCACATCTCTTTCGTACTATATCAAATACATGTATTTGAGTAAGTACTCAAATATATAGATAGGTCAAATTAAATATAATTCACTAAAATATTCTTAATAATTTGTCGTTATTCCTTGCTAATTATTATGCACGTATATTTGAAATTTTATTGTGATGTAATTATAATTAAAATTGCTAATTATTATGCACGTATATTTAAAATTTTATTGTGATGTAATTATAATTAAAATAAGTAGAAAACTAAATTTGTAATTACTTTTTATTTCTTAACTTTCTTAAGGTAGTTAGGATCGAAATTCGTGTGATGATTCGAAAGTCATTTGAAATTTCATTGTGATATAATTATAATTAAAATAAGTAGAAAACTAAACTTGTAATTACTTTTTATTTCTTAACTTTCTTAAGGTAGTTAGGATCGAAATTCGAGTGATGATTCGAAAGTCATTTGAAATTTCATTGTGATATAATTATAATTAAAATAAGTAGAAAACTTGTAATTACTTTTTATTTCTTAACTTTCTTAAGGTAGTTAGGATCGAAATTCGTGTGATGGTTCGAAAGTCGTTTTAAATATTTTTTGCATCTCCAGAGAAATAGATTGTTGCCATTTGTTGCCATTGTGCTTTGATCGTCATTCACTTCAATCTCAATCAAGGTATTTTAATATTGATTTTGTAAAGTGTTTTTTAAATTTTTTAGTTTCAAACTCAAACTAATTAAATTATCAAATAATTAAAATTTTAGAATATTTATCTTAACTTGAATCGGTAACAATTCACTATAATATTATTTTTTTAATAAAAAGTATTTCAAAACATTATATAAATAAAAAGATAATATTCTAATTGATATATTCAATAAAATGAAGTCTCAATTTTATTTGTGAACATTCTTAAATAATATTGATAGTTTATGTAACAGTTTCCCATTAAAAAACTTCTGAAACTATTTTATAAAAACTATAATCAATAAGAGAAATTTACATATCTACATTGTTACGCAATGTGCAATAATTTATATATTTATATTTATTCTTGCCTTCCGGGATATTAAAAAAAAAGTTATACTATTAATTGAAAAAGAAAAATTAATTATTAAACTATAATTAATTACAACATCTTTCCAAAATATACGAGGGTAAAATATGTATTAAAAGTTTATTAAAATAAATATAAAAAAATTAAATAAACGTAACTCTCTTTTCTACGATACATAGATTCTCCTCTTCGCTTGCCTCACTGTATTTATATTTATGATAATTTTCAATAATACAGTCTCTTACTCTTCAATTGCCACACTCCCTCGTCTCTCTCTATGTATTCATATATCGTAATGTTTCTGATATCAAAATTATACGTATTTTATATCCATAATACATAATTGTTTCATAGTAGATTTGATGTTTACGTATAAAAAAAAACCATAAGGAGGAGGTTGTATGTAACTTAAATTTAATACAATATTATTTATTAGTGAAATAGTCGAACCTCCACTCATTAAAAAAACTAAAATTGTTTCATCCCAACTACACATATATATTCATATGAACCTCACACTCACACACACACACACACATATATGTCCCTTTATAGTAAATGCGTTTTAAAAAGCAAGACATTTAACATCTATGCAAACCAAGCATACAAAAGCTTGTATACAACCTCATGGAAATGGTGCTATTTTCTTCATCTCAACATCATCAACATCAATGGCGAAACCTTTACCATGCTTCACCCAATAATCAGCCATCGGATTGAGACGTGTGGGCTCGGATAAATCAGTTCGAACTGTTTTCATGGTGTCCGTCGATAGGTTGTACTTGTCATCTCTCTTCTTAACTAAACCTATTTTCACAATCCCTAAATCAACTGGTTGTGGAGACATCATTAGTGATGGAGGCCCAATTGGTAACTTGTCACCTTTCAAAATAAAAAATAATCAACATAATATAACGCCAAATTCAGATAAGTGGGCTAATATACTAGTAGCAAAGACTTGAAAAAAACTCAAATTGAGTTTCGAAATCGTCAATAGTGTCATATAAACTGAAACAAACTAGTTACCTCTGTCTGTTTGCCACGTACACCAGAATTTGCCATAGGTTTTGGTAAGATTCTCCAGTTCAGGCCTTATTACCATTTCTGGAACTCTTGGATTCACCCAAAGTCCTGATTTTATCTACATATCAAAATTTCACAAAGATCAAACCCTTACATAAATTAAAAAAAATATATACATTATCACATATTTAGATAAAATATAAATATACGATGAAACATAGAGGGGTAGTCTATGTAATTACAAAAAAAAGTTTACGTAACAAAAACACCTCCAAAAATATCTTTGGTAATAATTAATTAATGACAATAGTTTAAATATTATCGCTAAATATAGTGGTGAATTCAAAATTTCTCTCGAGGGTACCAAAAATAGGGATTTAAAAAGTGTAATCCAATGGCATTTAGCTAATGCCGCCAAAAGTATATTAATCTTTATTAGTTTATATAATCTATTCCCCTAAACATGATTTTTATTGTAGTAAATATGGTAACTAACTAACTAACCTACTAGGAGAAAACAATCTCTACCAATATATGGCGTTAAAAAAATGAAAAATTTGTAAAATCGATATAAAACTAAAAATAAATTTATGAAGGACTACAAAATCATTCGTCAAACAATATATGGCGTCAAAAAAAATGAAAATTACAAGGTACAAACCTCGTGTGCATGAGAATGCCAAAGTTTTTGTTCTTCTTGAGGCAAACTTTCAAATATACGATCAGATAATATATACTCCACTCCTGCATATAAATTCATAATTATATTTATACCTATAGTAACATTAAATCGACCTGACATGAAGTTTAAAAAATACAAAACTAACAATTATACCGATAAGACGTCCGTTGGATTCATCAGAATCGTAAACAGCACACTGAAGAAAATCTTGATTTACGCGTGTGACATAATGATGCGTCTCAATTTGACGGGACATATCATGACTGTACATAGCAAAAGTACAAACATGTTGGTTCATTTGTTTGATAGGTTTCAAAGATTGCATCATTTGAGCCCCTTTGTCTAGCATATGTTGCCCTATTGTCATAGGCTCACCTGGTGGAACTTGCTCATGACCTTTTGTTGTAGAAGCCATAATAGTAGAACAATAATAATATTTAAATTTTTTGAAGTATAAATGAAGTGATTGAAATGGATGAGGTTGAGTTTGGGTGGAGCTTTATTAAAATTTTTTTTGATGAGGTGGCATTGAATGATGTGGCGGATTTTCAAGCGGGCACGTAGGCGTGCATGTGTCGTTGTGGTGGCACTGTATGATGTGGTTGATTTTTGGGTGGACACGTAGGCATACACGTGTCGTCGAGGTGGCTTGTATTTCTAAGCCTCATAGCCACGTAATTGATTTGCATGGAATGTTTAGTTTTTTTTTTGTGAATCACTATTATTAGAGAAAATTCAGAATCAGGTGAAGTTAAGGGGATTTCGAATTTCTTTTGAGATGAAAATTTCATAATAATAATAATAACGACAATAACATTAATAATAATAATTTAGTGATAATTACTTTGCATGAGTTACGTGAGTGAACATTGATTTATTCAAATATAATTTAAGTGATAAAATTTAAATTTTATATATATATAAAAGTTCAAAAGTATATTTTTTATGTATACATAATAAATCTTAGTAAACGTATATAATTTTGGCTGTCATTATCTACCATTAGCTAATCGCGTTGAATTTACCATTAATGCTATTGAGGAGTTCTAAAAAAATTGAGTGAACTTCATTTATATGTTTAATTTTATCTTTTTTATTTTTTTAATGACGGGGTCTGAGATAATACTTGAATTGAAGTTCTTTAGCTATTAAGGGTAAAAACAAAACTTTTTTTTTGAGAAAAAAGATAAATTTGGACCAAAACAATTCTAATAGAGCGCAAAGTTACTCAATTTGAAATAGTATTTACTCTTTTAATTTTCCTTAAAGAGAAATACAATTTGATTGAATATGGCAATCAATATTTTTGAATATAAAATATAAAGACCTTTTGCTAGTCAAGCAACAATAAGGAACTAATATTTCAATTTCCAAAACAACTGAATTTTCCAAGTACAATTAGAAAGAAATTCATTTCCTTGCTAATAATATATAGCAAAGAACATAAATTTCCACTTTTAAATCTTAGTCAACAATAATAATAACATATTTATTGAAATCTCGTAAATGAGATTATGGAGAGGCTGATAGTGTTTACTGATCAAACTCAACTCCTACTCTTACATTGAAAAGGTAGAGAGACTGTTTCGATCTTTTAAAGCATGTACTCTACTATCATCTTTCTCACTAGGACTTTTTTGTACCCTATACTTGTACTTGCTAGCAACAACCAAATAGACACAAAAATTCAAACAACTCAACACAGCTAACATCAAGTAAAATAAATTCAAATGGTTCCTATTAAAATTATTCCCAACTAACCACCCTCCACTATTTGTAACTTTTTTAGTTGCCTTGTTCACAATTTTCACAATAATTGAACTCAAGAAATATCCAATTGACATTGAAGTCCATAGAAAACATGATGACACTGATTTCAGTTCTTTTGGTGCTTGAGAGTAGAAGAATTCAAGAAGTCCCACGTAGGTAAACATATCCGCGATTCCAAATATGAAGAATTGGATTGAGAGCCAAAACACACTAATAGGCAATGGTTGTAGCACGGGAATCGCATCAAGCATGTTGTGTTCCTGTGCTACTTGTTTGCGCTTGACTTCTAAGATAGAGGCTGCTGTCATAGATAAAGCGGAGAGGACTAAGCCAACCCCGACTCGTTGTAAGTATGTTATGCCTGTATATAGATAGAAGTGATAAAATTAGCCTGTAAAGATATGATAAGCTTAAACTCGCCTAAAGCATGTAAGTGTTTTGGGCGATTGGGATCAAACTCATTTTAGACCAAGTAATTTTTGGATGGATTAATGAACCATCTGTTTATTAATTCAAATCATTTTGATTCGTTCCATTTAAAAAAGAAAAAGATACTTTAATTTTAATATGTAATTCAATATCATTATAAAGAAAACGAATGTTTTAATATGTAATTTTTATAAATAAGAAAATAAAATAAGAGTTGGATTGATTGAGTTATGACTTATTGTTTAGCTAGCCCATGTTTGCCAATTTATTTCACCTCAAAGTGATATCAGGATGAGTTAATAACTCACCCCTACAAACTGTGAAATTAGGTCTTAGGTCTAACTCATACACCAAAAGCTAGCTCAAAGGAATGAGGATTGTCCAAGCCTTATAAGGAATCCACCCATATCATTAACCATCGATGTGGGAATTTTGCCATTCTTTAACATTAACTCTATTCATTTTGACTTGTCAAATTTAGCTCAATCAACTTATTTATCTATTTTGATCTGTTCAAATTCAGTTAAACTCATTCATTTGACGCCCTTACCTGTGGGAATGCCGGTAAATTTGCGCAAGATTGGAACAATGATTTGATCGTAGACGGGGATGATGATGATCAAGAACACAATGGGGATGATTGGCAATGAGGCTGGAGGTATGTGAAAGGAATTTGTGATCCTTGTGTCCATGGTGAAGCCTTGTTGAATTGAAAATGTTTGAAGTTGGGCTAGACAAAGTGTCATAATAATTGTACAACAAAAAACAGGTACCATACTTAGCAAGATTTTTGCATTTTCTACTTGTGTAACTCTACAAAGTCTCCATGGATTAATTGCTTTTTTAGATTGTTGTTGTGATGTTTGAATAATAGCTGCTTTATCCAAGAACCTAAAAAAAGAAAAAAAAAAAGAGATAAAGTTAAAGTCAAATTTCTCAGACTCTTCAAAAATGTTGTTGCACCAATACACGGTTGTAGACATCTTATTTAATTTCTAGGTTACTTATACAATCCTGTTTGTTAGGTGTGATACTTATTATTATCTTTTAGGTGATCTGATGATATAAAAAATTGATCGTTCAATTAAGTGTATGAAACAGAGAAATAACTAACTTGTATGTATCGGTATGAGGTAGAAACTCTGTTGGAATAGCAACTTCCTCATCCTCGTCGATCTCATAGAGATCGGACGAGTCCTGAGGAAGTTGAAGATTTCTGTTTCTTATGGCTGCAACATACACCTATCAATAAGAACACAAGGAAGGCAAACAAAATTAGTGAAGTGATCATAGTTTGTCATAGAAAGAGAATAGTATAAAAATGATCAATGTTGGTCGGATCGTTTAAATAATGTAGTTGTACTCGTGTCAGATCCTCAAAAAATGAATAAAATTTGGAGGATTTACAACATATCAGGCAGTATTTTAAAGAATCCGAGCAACATATAGCTAAGACTTATGTTTAACTTTCGAAAGGACGACCTTTATGTTCTTGAATCCACAAAATAAGTTTTTTGTACTAGAGTTTTTCACGAGTTCCCTTTACCTATCTAAACTATTACTCTCTTTATATTAAAACATACACACCCTCAAATCTCGATGATGAGCTGGCCAAATACTTGTTTCCAATCAATAACAGACACGGGTAGGTCAACTCAGGATCTAGGTGTGTTTTTTAATTCACCAAGAAAGTAATATATAGTTTATCAGGTGTGAAACTCACGAAAAGGTGACAGTTTACCTGGAAAATCTCAGTGATGGCACTTGTTCCTTTAATAACAAATATTCTATACCATGGTAATCCAACACAAAATATTATTGCACCACACAACATAGCCAATGTGCTCACAAAAAATCCCCAATCCCATCCTTTATGTTGTTGAATCCACACAATAAATGTTGTACTAAATGAACCACCAAGACACACAGCTAACAAAAGCCAATTGAAGAAACTTGACATTTGAATTGCTTCTTTCTTGTCTTTCTCATCAAATTGATCAGCACCATGTGATGGCAATGCTGATTTGATCCCTGCTGAGCCAAGTGCTACTAAATAAAGAGCAACAAATAAAAGGGCTGCATTTTTTCCATCAACTTTCTCACAATTTGATGTTGGATCAAGAATGTTGCAAAGTGGTGGCTTGTATTTGGGATAGTGTGCTTGAAATGCTAGCAATGCTAGTCCCTACCAAATAGTTGAGGAATTCATTAATTGTGCAAGATTTCCATAATATAAAGGGTATAAATAAGTTCAAGACTCTTCAAAAATATCGACAGGTGTGTGTCGGATTCTCCAAAAGTAACATGTATTTTGTTGAAGAATTCAACCGACAATATTTTTGGAGTGTATGAGAAAAGCATAGGTATAAGCTATGTTTCTTGGATTTTCGAAAAAATATTGTTACGGCCGTGTCAGATGTCGGATCCTTCTAAAATATACCACTTTTGAAGGATCAAATATACAGGTTTTGAAATCTTAAAGGGTTCAATTAATATAGGATATAAATTAAGTGTTTGATTGTAAATTATTGTTTTGTGTTTTATTATCTGTATTTGAATCACATTATAGGGGTGTTTTAGTCAGTTAACTACCCAAAAAATAATTAGATGTCACTCATAAGTCACAAATGATAATGTAGAGGAAAAAACTTAAAAAATCTATGTTTTATTTTGGAACTAATAGTCATAGTCAACATGATGTCCATTCAAAGTTTGATTTTTCTTACCTAATATTGCAAAGTTAAGAAGTAGGATTTAATCTCTATGAGTTCAAACCTATTTGTATATATGTTACAACTTCGATGTTTTTTTACACATGAAATTATGTTTTGCATAAAAAAAATACTAATTTCAAATGAACCTGGTGTTGTAATATGTTACGAACCCTTAGATTTACTTTAAATCATATACATAATTCCTATACAATCAACACATAAAACTTAAAAAGAACTACTCACTTAGATAAATTATCAACATGTTAGGTATATCTTTAATCGTATACATGATTTGTATACTGTCAATGCATAAAACTTAAAAAACTACTCACTCAGATAAAATAAATAAATGAAGAGAATATGAAATATTACCAAGAATTCAATCCAACATGAAACAAAAACAGCTGTGAATCTTCCAATATAAGTGTCAGCTAAGATTGCCACAAGGACAGTTAAAATATAACTGGTTCCAGAGTAATTTGTAACTTGAGTTGCTGCATCAGCTACATCATAATGCATCACTCCATTGAAATAAGTCACCAAAGTTACTCCTAACACAAATGATGCTATGTTCTCACAAGCAAATGTACCTAGTAATTAATACGTAAAATATTAAATACTGGAATCAACGACTGAGCTAAGATTTTCACTTGGGGAATTCAAACTATGATATGTAGTCAAAATATATATTTATAGAAATAGATACACATATGATTACATTCTTAATAATGGTATGAAATAATAATTATTTGGAGAAATCATGTGGCAACTTGGTACAGAGCGAAAAATATTACACTATGTTAAGAATATTAATCTTGAATTGACTTAATTCAGTAAATTGGTATCGGAACTAATGGTGCAATAATATTATTAATTTTGTGAAATGTTTTGTGAAAAAATTATACGATCTTAGCTCAGAACAGACAATATCAATATTCTTTTACCTAGGATGAGTAAGGAAGGACCTTGTCCTCCATGTTTATCTTTAGTAGCTATTCTTCCTCTCCAATCAACTTTTCCTTCAAGAAGTTCACTTTTATCCTATACAACCAAGAAATTAGAAAAAAAATAATCAAGAACTAAAATTCATATTATATGAATCAATATATAGAAATTGAGAAATGAGAGATGGATTAAGGGTATGTTAGGTACAAAGAAAAATATTTTCCGATGCATTTTCCATATTCGATTGGTTAAAAAGTTTTGGTGAATATATTCTGTACGAATACAAGTTTCTTAAAAATGAGTTAAACGACTTTCTCTAGTGGAACTACGAAAAACAAGTTTCACATTGATGGCGTCCTCCTCACCCAACCTCGTAACACATGGTCATCTTTACCCTCGCACCCATCTCCATTATCCAACGTGCCTATATCTATACCCCCACCTCTCATAATATTTATCTATATTATATACCAATACATTTAAGATAATATTTTTCTTACTATATATACTATACACACAAAAATAAATCTAATTTTTTGAAAAAATATTTTTCTTCGTACTGAATACACCGTAAATGAAAAATTAAGTACCATAGCTATTTCAAAAATTTTGTGATCCTAATGCAAGCCAATGGAAGAAGAATAAATATTAGAGTGCCAAGAATTGGTGTGAATGTTAAGTACTATTTATTTAAGAGAAAATGAGATATTTATTTACTATACTTATCAATGGTGACAAAAATTCAAAATTAAAAGGAACCTTTTTTTGCTGCCGTCTTTGAAAGAGAGATTCTCACGAATAAATGAAACATTCAAAATAATGCAAAATGTGAAAGGAAAAGTTAAAATATACATGCTGATAAGAAGGTGACAATAAATCATACTATCAATTTTCATTAGAATAATCACTTTTATAAATATATAAATATATATATATATATATATATATATATATATATATATATATATATATAATAAATAAA